CCAAACAGACCCTAATTATAACTTTACACTATTCACATGCTCTAGTTTGACTATATTTTATTTATTTAATATATGAGTATTATTTGTTTTGGAAAATGTTATTGATATTGCCTCATTAAATTTTTATAATCTGACTTTTATTTAGTTTTTACTAATGAAAAATTAAATATAATGACGGTCAAAGTTGTGTAGATGAAAATGTGAATGTTGCAATCAAGAGTAGGAAATATAAGATTTTGTAGTATGCACGTTTAGTGATGTTAAAAAGTAGAACTAGCTCATTCTTAATAATATATTATAAAAGTTAGATTTACTAAATTATTACCTTTATTTTATTAGTTCGTTCTTATATATTCATTTTTTAAAACAATTTAATACATATTCATGTTCATTTTTGGTAAGTTTTAATTTCATTTTCATCTGTACTTTCAACTTTTTAACATTTTCGTAGTCTCTTTAATATTCCCATTGCCCCAAATCAATGGTCTTGCTTGATTTGGCATAAATTTTAATAAAGTGCATGTGTTTGAAATGGTAAAAACAAGTGATAGGATTGAGAATTGAGTATGCAAAGCTGAAATGTTATACGGAGTGAACTACATATTTGTGTCAAAATAAGAATCAGGACAATTATTTTGGGATATTCGAAAAAGGAAAACAAGATGATATTTCGAGATGGAGAGAGTAGATTTTAATATTCTCTCTTTTATTTTTTAGATGTTTTCTAAATGGGTTAATTATCAAAATAGGACTAAAAGTCACTCACTTTGAACAAATAGGACAAAAAAATAAACTATGTTTTCATAGGACTAATTGTGGGTGTCTTGGACAAATATACCCTTATAGCTATTGAAATGTTTTAATTCATAATAATATAATAGAAAAATAATAAAAATTCATAAAAAACTACTAAATATTAATAAAAATATTTCGATAATAATAATTTATTTATTTATTTATTCATTCAAAAAAATTAAATAAAATTCAATGCCGCCTCTACCGCCTCTGCAACACCACCTCCAATCACCAGGGGGAAATTCCAAGTTCATTACGAATGCCATATTTATGGAAGAAAACAATGAAAATGTTTGCATTCTCAAAGAGAAATATGCCATGTTTTGGCATTTTCAGAAAAAATAGCAGTTTTAAGGAAAAATGGCATTTTTTCACCGGCCGGAGATGGTGGTGCAGGGAGGTAGTACAGGTGGTGGGAAAGACATCCATATTTTTTTAATTTTTTATGGAGTTTTACTATTTTTTTATTAATTTTTTTAAAAAATAAAAAACAATTATTTTTTAATTTTTTATTTTATAAATATTTATAAATTTTTTAATTATTTTTCTACGATTTTTTGATTTTTTTTCGAATTTATTATGAATTATACGTTTAATTAACTCATATTTAAAGGAAGGGTAAGAATGGAATGAAAAAATAGGTATGTTTCCAAGAGGACTAATATGGTCCTATTTTGAAAAGGAAAACATAGTAAATCCTATTTTGGGTTTTGCCATAATTTAGTCCTATTTGGAGTAATTTCTATTTCTAAAGGGTTTCACTACTACACCGATTTTTTCACAGGAATATAGCATTTACAAAGAGTAATAACGATTAAGAGTAGACAAACATTAAATTATACAAACACGAAGAGTATAGTATTCACAAGCACTTATAAGAGTAGAAATTTAACAAAGGGGAAAGCACTAGAGAATAAACATCAAACAAGTTTGAATTACTCACAAAATTCAATTGCACTTGGCAGCAAGTTTGAATAGTTCTTTCGATACTTTAGTTTTTCTTTTTTGTTGTGTTTTGGAATACCCGTTATGAAATATTTCGTTCAATACTGCTTTTTCTCCTTTTTGTTTTAGTTTTTACACACCCGTTATGAAATGTTCCTTGCAATATTCTTGTTTCTCAATTCAATTTTGTTTCTACCCTCCTTTTTGTTTACGCTGGTTATGAATCATTTCTTGCAATTTTCTCGTGTCTCCTTTTGGTTGGGTTCATTTCACATTTCTCTTTTTGTTTTCTCCATTTTTATGTAACTTTTCTCTGCAACATTCTCATCTCTCTTTTTGTTTTTGTTTCGGATTACTTGATATGAAACCTTTCGATTCGAGATTTGGTGGTTTTGGCTGTGTAGATTTTGGATCACATTTTTGGTAACTTTTTCTTTCATTTTCACGTTTTATTTTCTACTTTTTTACATTTTCATTGTCTCTTTAATGCTACCACGATTCGCTTTTAAATAGTTGTAACATTAGAAAGTTTACACTATTCTTGTGTTCTACTTTGACTATATTTTATTTAAAAATGCATTAACATTATACTTTTAAAAAATATAATTCAATTCTTCTCGCCTTAAATTTTCAAAATGTGATTTTTTTGAAATTTTACAGTTAGAGAATAAAATATATTATTAATGGTGAAAGTTGTACATTGGCGAACGTGAAAATGGAAGCGTTGCAACTAACAGGTATATCGGTACCAAATACGTTTTCACAGGGAATATACGTTTCCATTCAATATTCCCATTTCTCTTTTTTATTTTGTTTTTGACACACCCGTTATGAAATGGTACGTGAGATATTCACATTTCTCCGTTTGATTTTGCTTTTGACACACCCGTTCTTAAACATTTTGTTCAATATTCTTGTTTCTTCCTTTGGTTTGTATTTTAAACACTCGTTATGAAACGTTCAGTGAAATATTTATGTTTTTCCTTTTCGTATTGATTTTGACACCCATTATGAATTTTTTTTTCGCGCAATATTCTCGTTTCTCATTTTGGTTGTGTGTTTTACACACCCGTTACGAACCATTCAATTCACGTTTCTCTTTTATTTGTGTTTGACACCCGTGAACCGTTATGAAATGTTCCTTGCGATGTATAAAAAATGGATTTGACATAGATTTGGTGTGTATTTACGTACCCCTACCATATCCGTGACAAAATCTTTATTGGCCAAATATGTTTTTCCAGGGCATATCCTTGCCAAATCCTTGACAAAGATCCGTGCTAGATCTGTGCAATTCTCGTAATTTTTTGTAGTGTATAAAACGCTCCGTTCTGTGCAATATAATAATCACATTTCTCCTTTCGGTGCAATACTCACATTTTCCTTTTGATTTACTTTTTGACACACCCGTTATAAACGTTCAGTGCAAAATTCTGGGGTCTTATTTTTGTTTGGTTTCTTACACATCTGCTATGAAATGTTTTGTGTAGTATTCAAAACCAGAATAGTAACTACTAAGAGTAGAAAAACATTAACAATACAAACCCTAAGCTAGGAGTATAGTATTATATTCAAAAACACTAATAAGAGTAGAAATCTTACAAAGGGAAAGTGTTAGACAAAAAACATTTAAGAATTACTCAAAGAACTCAATGGCACTTGTCCTTGCAATATTCTCGTTTCTCATTTTCATTTTTTTTACACAACTGTTATGAAAGGCTCCTTGCAATATTCTCGTTTCTCATTTTTATTTTTTTTACACAGCCGTTATGAAGCACTCCTGGCAACCACTATGAAACATTGTGCTTTTGGATTTGGTGGTTTAGGCTGTGCAGGTGTTGGATCACGTTTTTGGTAACTTAATTTGATTTTGATGAGATATTTTCTTGTTTTTAATGTATTCTCTTCTATTTTTTTATATTTTCTCTAGACGGTTCACTACACCAAGTATTGAAAAAAGTAGAATTATAATGCTCAAGAAGATTAATTAAATATCTTCTGCATTCCTACCAGTGTAACTTTTTATCACTATGAACGATTTCAATATGCCGAATGAGAATCAATGACAAAAAATACTTACCTACCTCCTTTCTATTTGTTTCTGTTTTTTTCAGAAGTTTTATTATATATCCAATTTATATTTGTTATCATTTCTATTTTTTCTGAAATATCTAAAGCAACAAATTAAATAAAATAACTGACGGTGTTATTCTGAGGACAGATAAGGAAAAAATGACAATCAAACAACCACCAGAAATATAAAAATATTACTTATATTAGTACTCTGATATAAACCACGCCACCATCTAAGTTAATGATATCTGTTGCTCTTATACCAACAGAAACATTGCATTCAGTCACACAACTCATAATCAATAGAAGCTATATTTCGTTATTAGTAAAAAATCAAGGCTATTAAATTGACAATTACAGAATCTCAGTCGCACTTTCGACTCACTAGCTTCATTCGTTAGCTTGTTATATTACTAGTGTCATGTTAATGTGAATCAAATTAAAGATGTGATAAATATTAATAGAGAATGAAATATTTACTGAATTTGTTCATTTTTTTTTTTAAATTGACAAAAATAATATGTTTACTAATAGTTTGTTTACAAATGAGAAAGGGGATTTTAAAGAATTGATGTGTACATGATTTTTTATTATTTCCGTTTTAGACTTACTAATTCCTCCGTCCCGCAATGAATTTCCCACTTTCCTTTTTTAGATGTCCCAGAAACAAGTTCTCATTTCCTTAAATGACAAGTTAATCTACATCAAAACAGTGTCAAACATTGCAAAACAATGCCAAACAGTGTCAAAATAGTTCCAAACAATGTCGAAACAGTGTCAAAACAGTAAAATTTACCCCATGGTAAATTTATTTCCTTAATATGTATATATGTCAAACTGTGAAGTTCATTGTGGGACGGATGAAGTATTATTTCTCTTTTGTTTACGAGCACACTACTTAAAAAAGTTCATAGTATGCAAATAAAAAAAAGTTAACTTTAAATTGAAGTGAAAATATTAAATTGTTAATATTTCGGTAATTATTGTTAATTATTGGTAAGTTAACTATTGAATTTTGATAATCCTAACTGCTTATCTTTCCGACAAAATTTATGAATTTTAATTTCAGGTAATTGTAAAACTCACCCACAAATATTTAAGATTTAAATTCCTAGTAGCTAAAACATTTCTTAAATATGAGTCATGATTGCAACTAGTATTTAAAATGACATATTATTCCAAGGAATGGTGAAACCCAATTATATATATCCTCTAGAGAAAATACATATGATGGATGAACTCCAATTGACAGTCCTTGTTTTCCCTGTCTCACTATACATATTTTTATTATTATGACTATGCGGAAATCACTTGTATTTAGATCTTAGATTTTGAAACCTATTGATTTCCGAAAACCAAAAAGCTGACAATAAAACAAAAAACAACCAAAATATGAAAATGTTCACGATAAACAAAACCCCCAAAAACAGATGCTCCGTAACGGATTCTTTCCTCCTTCCTTACACGTCATCTACTGAGTGCTCATCCACGGTGGAGAGATGGGCTGGTCCCCTGCGCTAAACCCCAGGGTAAGATCCAGCAGCAGCTCGTTTCCGGTCCCAACCGGTTTGTCCTCGCCCAAACCATACGGCTCGACCGATTCGAGCGACGACGAGCCATGACTCGCCGCCCGCTCGAACCTGCCGCCCTCCGACCCCTCAAACCCCCACCCGGAGATGCTGAACTTCTCCGGCTCCTCCATGGCATCCGCCAGCGAGTCAACATTCCCGGCCGAAGTATTTCCCTGAGCCGGTCCGGTCCGCTTGAACCTGTTTCTGGACTTGACCCGGCGAACCGCGGGCGAGGGTTCCTTGGAGATGTGACGTATGTCGCAGCCCTTGAAAGGCGGAATCGAGTGTGACTCAGCCCCACCGCCGTCTTCGATGGGGATCTGGGTGATCTCCGAGCCGCTGAGAACCGCTTCCACCGCTTCCTGACACCTGTCCCAGTTCCCGCCCCACATTAACCCGACCGACCCGTAAATCGGGTTGATGATCCGCCCGCATGCCTCATACAGCAGTGACCTGAAAATTGCTGCAAAATCCCCAAACGACATTAAACTTATAAATAATAAATAACCAAAAAGGAAATGCAATAATCAACCATTCTAAGCTGGCGGAGTAACATACTGCATTTATGCCCATGCCTTATGTAAAAAGAATTTTTTCATTAATTTGTACACAAAATTTACACACCTATCTTAGTTAATGATTTTTTTAAAATTCGTTGTGGACGCGAGTCAAAGTGGCTCGCGTCCACATGTATTTTACCCGTCACAATTGTTAACTTTTTAGCATAAGCCGAGTATATATACCAGGGCGGAGGTGATCGGGGCCAGCATTGATGAGGTTGATTAGGCCAGCGCGCCCGTAAAATTTGGCAAGGAAGACGGTGGCGTTGGCCTGGGACTCGGGAGTTTTGATCCACTGAAGGCAGGGTCTCAAGGTGCAGTCTTCACTGCAGCCTTTGCGGAGGACTCTGCAGCCATTGCAGCTCATTCTCATGCTTCTTCTCTATAGAGAGAGTGAGAGAGAGAGAGGGAGTGAAGGAAGGGGATTTAAAAGAGTGGGTTGGAGGAGTAAGAGGGAGACGGGTATAAATGTATGAAGAGAGGGTATTGTGTTGTGTATGCGTTTGTAGCTTTGCCCCACACAGCGCCATCCGCCCCACCCCTCTCCGGTGTTTGTTGTGGTGGGGGAGGGTGATGACGTCACTTCCTATGGTGCAAACCTACAAGTAGACAAATTGTTTCTTAACCAGAGAGTTAATTTATAATCCTTCCATTCTTACCAATTTCTCTTTTTTATTTTACGACCCAAAAATGGTCAAATAAAGTCTTTTATTATTATCAAATTGTGATATAAAGCATGTACTCAATAAAGTGTCATATAAATATGTCTATTTATAAAAAGCAATCGAATGAGTCATAATGATCTGTTGATAACCTATTAGGATGTTTTTACTTGGACTGTTTTTAGTTCTAGACAAGACCAGGCGAGAGCTCAACATACCAAACCAGACTTAAACATATTAGATCAGACCACACTAGACTTAAACAGACAAGACCAGATTTTACTTCCGTAGTTATAAAATACATAGAGACCAAACGTTTACCAGACCAGACCAGACCCGACCAGACTTAAATAAGCTAGACCAGACTAGATTAGTAAATTACAATCCAAGTAAAAATATCCTTAATCCCGATTTTAGCTTACATGTCGTTATTTTTGCCTTGTATTTAAGCCAATCCTAGCTAAAGGTTTCATGTTATCCTTATAATCTATTTTAAAAAGATAGTTAGACGTACACTAAAACTGGGATTACGAGGTAGTCAACAGGTCATTAAGGCTCATCTGATTGCTTTTTATAAGTAGACGTATTCATATGACACTTTATTGAGCACATGGCGTTATGTGACGATTTCATAATAGTAGAAGACCTCATTTGACCCTTTTCTCTTTTACAAATTGTAACATCTTACTACTATGTAGTATTTACATACCCTATATTTTGATCGTATTTTGGTCAAAATAAAAACCAAAGTCGCGTAGTTGAGTCCTCATCCATAATACTTGTGAACAACTAGCAGCAGTAACATATTCAGCCTCCGCTGTAAATGTAGACACACAATTTTGCTTCTTTGAGGACCAACAAACCAGTTTCTCTCAAAGAAATTGAGCACTTTCAGATGTACTCTTTCTATCCATTTTGCATCCTGCGAAATCCACGTCAGTAAATGCAATAAGATCAAAAGCAGATTCCTTAGGATACCAGAGTTCTAAATTAGGAGTTCCTTTCAGATAACGTAGGATTCTTTTCACAGCCAGCAGATGGGATTCCTTTGGATTTGCCTGAAACCGAACACATAAGCAAGCAGAGAACATTATATCAGGTCGGCTTGAGGTCAGATACAGCAAAGATCCAATCATTCCCCTATAAGTGATAACATTGAATGACTTTCCCGATGGATCAGTATCAAGCTTGCATGCAGGAGTCATCGGGGTTTTCACAAGGGTGCTATTCTCAAGACCATATTTCTTCGGCAAATCATGAATGTACTTGGATTGATGAATGAAGATTCCGTCAGGCAGTTGTTTACCTTGTAGTCCAAGAAAGAAATTCATTCACCCATCATGCTCATTTCGAACTTAGATTGCATCAGATTTCCAAAGGCAGTGCAGAGAGCGGAGTTAGTAGAACCAAAAATGATGTCATCAACGTAGATCTGAACCAGGATGATGTTAGAATCATGACGCTTGATGAATAGTGTAGTATCAATAGTTCGTTTTGAGAAGTCAGAATCAATCAGGAAATTGGATAGTTCCTCATACCAAGCTCTCGGTGCTTGTTTGAGTCCATATAAAGCTTTACCCCGACGATAAACATGATCGGGATATTTTTTAACTGATGAAACCTTCTTGTTCATCAACGTAGACTCCTTCTTTCAAGATTCCATTCAAGAATGTTGTTTGACGTCCATTTTGTAGATGGTGAAGTTCTTGTGTGCAGCATAAGCCATGAACAGTCGAATGACTTCAATGCGTGCAACTGGAGCGAACGTCGCATTGTAATCGATGAGTTCTTGCTGATTATACCCTTTAGCAACTAAACAGACCTTATTGCGAATCACGATCTGGTCTTCATCTCTTGTGTCCTTGAAGAGCCACTTAGTGCCTATGATTGATTTACTAGGGGGTCGAGGCACAAGTGACCAAACTTTAATATCTCGAACTGATTAATTTCTTCTTGCATGGCGATTATCCAATCAGGATCAACTAATGCTTCAGTAACCTGCGTAGGCTCAAATTCACTTAGGAAACATGAAAACAGACATTTTCTGTAGCAGATCGGGTGCAAACTCCACTAGAAGGATTTCCAAGTATGAGATCAGGTGGATGAGCACGTGTCCATTTTCTGACATGAGGGTGTCTGAGCATTGTTGTTAGGTTGCTGATCAACATAATGAGTATCAGCTTGAGGAGTAGATGAAGATGTAGGATCTGTAGATGGAGGCGGTGTAGTTTCAGTAGCAGTTTCAGTCACAACTGTGGTTGCAGAAGTTGAAGTTGTCGTTAAGGGAGTAGATGTTGCAGCTGTTGACTCAGTAGGTGGTGGATCATGTGGATGTGGATTCCCATAGATTTGGTCAAATAGATGGTCAAGATCCATAGTATTGGAGTCAGGTGAGGGAGATGATGTGGGAAGCTGTGCAAGAACACCAGTGATATCGGGTTCTGAAGTAATATGTCCAGAAACCTTTTCTTCATTTTCGTCAAATGTCACATTGATGCTTTCAATGACCTTCTTTCTGTCGAGGTAGACCATGTATGCTTTAGAAGATTATGAGTAGCCAATGGACAAGCCTTCAAATGCTTTTGGATCAAACTTGTTTCGATCTTCCCTATCATTAGCAACAAAGCACTTGCATCCAAAAACTTTTAGAAATGAGACATTTGGAGTACGGCGGTTGATCAGCTCATTTGGAGTCTTTCCAAACCTTTTGTGAATTGAGGTCCTGTTCTGAGTGAAGCAAACAATGTTAATAGCTTCAACCCAGAGAAAATGTGGAAGTTTGGAGTGAATTAGCATGGTTCTTGCAGCTTCAACAGGAGTTTTGTTCTTTCGTTCAACTACCCCATTCTGCTGTGGGGTCTTTGTTGTAGAGAATTGCTGAATGATTCCTTGTAACTCGTAGAATTAACTGAGCTTCTGATTATTGAACTCAGTTCCGTTTTCAAAATGAATGAAGAGAATGGTTGCCTGGAGTAGATTATGTGTAGTTCGAACAAAGGTGATCGATGATGATGTCAGTTGCCTTGTCTTTGGTGCGTAAGAAGCGAAACCACATGTATCGAGAGTAGTCATCTACTATTACTAAGACATATTTCTTCCCATTGATACTTTATGTATGCATGGGCCCACAAAGATTCATGTGAAGTAACTCAAGAGGACGCATAGTAGATGCTGTCATTTTCGCCTTATGGGAAGCTCTTTTCATTTTTCCAAGTGTGCAATCGCACAGATGATCATTCTTGCTTTGAAGTGGTGGCAGACCAGTGACAAACTTCTTTGATGACAATGTATGCAGATCTCGGTAGTTTAGATGAGACATCCTCTTATGCCACAGTTGATTCAGTTTAGAGGGTGCTTTTGATAGCAGGCAGACATCGGAAGAGGGATACACATTTTTCAGAACAATGGTGTACAGACTTGATTTGTGTATACACCTCAGAATGGTATTCCCTTGATCATCTTTCACGCAGCACTGATTAGCTCGGAATATGACCTTCAAGCCTTTGTCACAAAACAATCTGATGCTAAACAGGTTGTGTGTCAATCCAGCAACATAAGAAACGTCTTTGATGGTAACCTTCATGTTACAGATGTCTCCGTATCCAAGGATATGAGCTAAATTATTGTTTCCAAAGCCTACTTTCCCCCCAAACTTGTCGATGTAGTTGCTCAACAGCTCTTTCTTCCCAGTCATGTGTGTGGATCAACCTGAATCTAGATACCCCACATGACTGACATGCAAAATTAAGCAGCCTTAGGTACCCATTTTAGGATGGGTCCATCCTTTTGATTTGGAGAAAGAATAGAGACATTTTTTGTTAGATCACTTTTCGGAACCCAGACTTTCTTGATATTTTGAAAGTGTTTAGATTGGTTCTAGAATGGTGAGTGTGATGTTTTAGTATCTGAGAAAACTGTAACACTTGAGATTTAATTTAAACGGATTAATAGTACTACTCATACGAACAAGATGCATCTCCTTTTACGGGACCTCATCACCTAAGAACTCCAAAGTTAAGCGTGCTTGCACGAGAGTAGTCTTGGGATGGTTGACCCCCTGGGAAGTTTCTCAGGGCGCACGAGTGAGGACAAAGTGCGCGTTAAAGGCTACTGGCGGTTTGTGAGGACAATATTAGAGTTTTGGAGAGTATTAAGGAGTAACTACCTCGGGCCCTATGGGGCGGGGTGTTACAGGTGGTATCAGAGCAACCCTACGACAGTGTGCTGATCCGTTGGATATCGGGCAGACACTTAGCAGGGGGAAAGATTCTGGAATTTTATTGAGATTGGTTTACGGGCGCAACGAGGACGTTGCGTTCCTAAGTGGGGGTGATTGTAACACTTGAGATTTAATTTAAACGGATTAATACTACTACTCATACCAACAAGATGCATCTCCTTTTAAGGGACCTCATCAGCTAAGAACTCCAAAGTTAAGCATGCTTGCACGGGAGTAGTCTTGGGATGGGTGACCCCCTGGGAAGTTTCTCAGGGCGCGCACGAGTGAGGACAAAGTGTGCGTTAAAGGCTAGTGGCGGTTTGTGAGGATAGTATTAGAGGGCCGAAGGGTGTGCTGGAGTAACTACCTCGGGTCTTGTGGAGCCGGGGTGTTACAAAAACTCTCTCTTGCTAATCTTTTGATATGTTTGACTGAATAAATCTTTAAAGTATAATTTAAGCAAACACCTTTACATGAAGAGAAAGTAACACAATCATATTTAGCATTCACATTACACGCATCATGTTTAGAGAAAGGAGAATTTAATTGATCATGCTTAAAATAATCACAT